ACTGAAGTGACTTAGCATTGTCCTCACCGGATCATTATACTACAGCTTCCCAACAACCTCAGTTCAGTTCAGCTCAGTTCAGTTGCTCAGTCATGACCCCATGGACTGCAGTACACCAGGCTTTCTTGTCCATCACCAACTCCCGGAGCTTGCTCAAACTCATGTCCACTGCGTCAGTGATGCCTTCCAACCATCTCATCCTCTGTCATCCTGTTCTCCTGCCTTCAATATTTCCCAGCATCAGGGTCTTTTCCAACGAATCAGTTCTTCGAATCAGGTGGCCAAAAGAATTGGAGCTTCAGCTTTAGCATCAGTCCTTCCAATGAATATTCAGGACTGATTTCCTTTAGAATTGATCTCCTTGCAGTCCAAGGGGGACTCTCAAGAGTCTTCTCCAGCACCACAGTTCAAGAGCATCAATTCTTCAGCACTCAGCTTTCTTTATGGTCAACAACCTAGATTCTTTATCTTTTTAGCTGGCTGAAGTTTCTGGCCAAGTAGGTTTTCAAAGTGCTCTTGACCAATTTTTTTATGATTGCCTTTGTCCTTGAGTGACATCCTGGCTGGAAATAACATCCTTCCTTCACACTTTCCATCCTTCAGAGCTTCTCCAGAGCCTTTCTCTCTTACCTTAGGATGTCACACACTGCTCTGAAGGAGTCTGACACCAGCTCCAAGTTCTACCTCTGTAAAGGACTAGCTATCAGCCTAGGATTTTCAAGAATTTTTCTTTGATTCTTGGAAATATCACTGTTGAGTATATGTATCCATTTCCCTAGAAAATGATGAGATCTCTAAACATGTGTTTTGCTTCCTGTCCCTCTGTCTGTTTTCATTTCTGTAAGACCAGGTTGTCCTGTCTCTGAAAGGAGTCCTGTTTCCTGTTTCACCTATTTCTACCCTACACTGGAGCCAGAAAACAATCAAGACACTTCCTCATCCACCTTTCTCCACATGCGGGTCAGGATTCTGTGGCTTCTGAAGAGCGGAGGGGAAAGGAGGCACTTCCCATGCTCTGTTGTGACTTTCTGTTTTGTTTCCTCTGGGGTCTCCTGTTTCTTTTCTTTGCTGCCACTTTTCATGGGTGATGGCATTCTTCTACCCCTGATGATGGTTTTTGCTGGCCCTTTACTATGTCTTACATTTCTTATTCTGTAAGGCAGTTTGATTGGTCCATCTCAACATTAGTATCCCTGGATTTTATATTCTTGAGTTCCCCAGCTAATGCATATGCCCACAAAGAACAGTGATGGATGTAGTTGTGTGGTCAGTTGTGTCCAACTCTCCTGAGACCCTATGGACTACAGCCTGCCAGGTTCCTCTGTTAATGGGATTCTCCAGAAAACTGAAGTGGGGATTAGGCTTGGGGCTTCCCAGGTAGCTTAGTGGTAAAGAATCCTCCTGCCAATGCAGGAGACGTAGGAGACAGGGCTCAATCCCTGGGTTGGGAATATCCCCTAGAGAAGGAAATGGCAATCCACCCCAGTATTCTTACCTGGAAAAAAAAAAAGAATACTGGAGCAGGTTGCCATTTCCTCTTCCAGGGAATCTTCCCAACACAGAGATCAAACTCCACCTCCTGGGATTCCAGCATTGGCAGGCGGATTCTTTACCACTGAACCACCTGCGAGGCCCGATGTATGTATTCTTATGCCCAATAGTACTACTCACTTTTCACACTTACCCTCTCTGAGATTCAGTGTGACTTTCTCTGCAAAAGGAGAATAAAATCTTCCTGGCTACAAATTGATTGGGAAGTTGTGATGACACACATGAGTTAATGTGTAGTCACATATTTCAGAAAACTTTCTCACACTCAAGAGAGCCAACAACATGATTGTATTTTCTACTTTCTCTTTATATAAACTGAAGAATTACTCAAACTGGGGTATTTAATTTTTGCACCAGTTTGGGTCCTAGAGTTGCTAAACTAGTTGCCAGATTCTTCAGAGATTTCATTCTCTACTACCTTTTAGTTAGAATAGTTGTTACTGTGGATAAATGTAAAATTCCTTCCTTTTTTGTAATTTTTTAATAGTAATTTTTTATAGACCTTAAACCAAAGGTTTAAGCCAAAGTGGCACAGTTTCAAAGATTATTTTTAAATGGCCAATTCATTTACTTGTAACCAGAAACCATGCCATAAATGAAGACTAAAGCAGTTAAAGGAGAAAAAAGAGAAACAAAGATGAAGTAGTTAGTTCTCTTTACAATACTGTTCACGGTGGGTGGGTACCTGCAGAAAAACAAAGCACCAAAAAGAATTTCTCTCCAGTTCCACCCCAGGGACAGGCAAAGCCCAAGACAAAGAGCTGAACAGAGAGTTGGGAGGTCCATGTGCATTTTACCATCTATTAAGCCAGGGAGGTAAAGGGCATGAAATAGATACTCCCGCTAATTCCAGTACTTTTGCCTGGAAAATCCTATGGACAGAGGAGCCTGGCGGGCTGCTGTCCATGGGGTCGCAGAGAGTCAGACATGACTGAGCACACACACACAACGAATTCCTAGGACCAAAAGCTTTGTGTTGGCTTGTGATCATAACCAAGGGGAAGGCCACCTCCAAATGAAGTTCTGTTGGCTCCTTTGAAACCTCATAACTTTATACTGAGACAGCTATAAGGAGGAGTTTATCAGATTCATTTATTTTTAAGGCTGAGTTTTCTGGTGTGTTCACTCAGTTGTGTCCAACTCTTCGCATCCCCACGGACTGTAACCCACCAGGCTCCTCTGTCCATGGGACTCTCCAGGCAAGAATACTGGAGTGGTTGCCATTTCCTTAGGATTCTGCTAATATGGCACCTAGCTGTCGAGTGCAGTGACAGATAAACTTTCTCTTCTCCTTCCAAGAACATATCAGTATCTCTGTTCCTTGATGTAGACTTTCCATCTCAGAAAGACCATGAAACACACCTGGCTTCCAAACCTACTTACCTTCACTTCCTGGGATCAAAAGGTCACTCACCAGCTTTTCTGCTCATGCCTCAGGAACCTGCATTCCACAGCTGTGTTCAGACAGGGTCAGTGATGGCCTATTAAGAAATGCTTTCAGGATCCCAGAATTCAGAGGTTTGGAAAACAGCCTTGGGATGCCTCATGGACCCATATGAAAGGAGCCAAACAGTAGGGTGAAGAAAACTTGGCTTAAAATGACAACATGTTTCAAAGCTAGGTATATTTTATTTATAAATAACATTTAGATACAGAGGTTAATCAGAGATTCTCCAAGATCCCCCAGAGTATCAGCACAGACATACCAGAGAGGAAAGAGAGCATGTTTATGGGTTTCTGCCATCTGGCAGCTAAACCCAAGGCTGGTTCTATCCAGACATCTCAGTAGACAGAGGGCCGGATCACTTGCAAACTATAAGCACTGGATTTATTTTTTTTAATCGTGGATACTCCCGACTCAGTTCCCTAAATACCTTCATTCCTATTATCTAGGTTGTACAATTTATATTCCATCCATTATATGACTTCGACTTAAACTCATTCTTCAACTGTCATGAGTATTACAGAAAATTATGAATAAACCACATTTGAAGGTTAATCCCTCTGTTCCCTCCTTAATCATTCTCCCTGTGAATTTATTCCATCACATGCCACATGGTGTGAGAGCGTCTAACAGAACTGATGAGACACTGTTCTCATTCATTTCTCAACAGTATCCATTCTGGAAAGTGTAAATAGTGGGATTTTAGAAGTCTGTCAATATCAGTCACACTTCATTCGCTGGAACTTTGTTTTTAAAAAAACCGTCAGATGTACATACTGACACTCGGAAGCCCAAAAGTTTCTAACAAAGGTCAGACTCTTCCTCTGTTCGCGGCAGCACCGACTCAGTAACTGTCGGGGAGCCCAGGAAATAGGCCTGCAAGGACACAGAAAGCTGTATGGCCCCCACGTGGGAGGGGAGCAGAAGTCATTCTGTTGCCACACAGGTGGCTTCATTCATTTGCACACATACATTCCCATGACTGCATTCACAACATGGTCACTTTGTTGATCCCACTGTATTTTCACATTTCAGAGAGTTGAGAAAATGATTTTTCGCATTTTATGTGTCATTCATTCCAGATAGGTGTGATATTCATAGTCTCATAAAACAAAAATCTAATTTGTGGATGGGAAAATAAAAGTTCCTGTTAGCAAAGTACTAGTGTGTATGCATAGTCTGATGGCCACACAACATTTATATGGCCTCAGAGCTCCTTCTGAGGACCCCGCATCCCATAATCAGACCCCAGGGCATCTCAGGATGGAATCTACAATTCCAGCTGCTCTTCTCTCGTGCACTTAGGTTCACCTGTCTTACTTTCATTGTGAAATAGAAAAAGAAATCCGTAATATTTAGCAAGGCTTTCTGCACAGGGAGAAAATATCAACTATCAAATAATTGAGAGAATTGAGACTGCATTCTTGAAAACCTAAATTCTTCTTTCTTTTTTTTTTTACAAAATAATATAAATGCATGCCTCTGTACGATCCTGAGGGACTTAGAATTTGCCTTTTCTTAATATGATCTTGGGCCTGAACCCTCTTTATTAAAGCCTTCAGTTCCATATTTGAGGACTGCAATGCCCTTCCCTCACCTTTCCAGCAAGCCTTGTTTAAATATGGTAAAGATCACAGCAGGGCACTCGGTGCTTCAGCAGAAAGAACTGGGAAGTTACAGGAAGAATGCACACAAGGGCAAATAAACAAACAAGACAGAACCATTTTTTAAAAAAGAACTTTAGAAATGAATTGTGCTGCAAAACTACGTCTGTAATGGCAGTGTCTTGCCTGCCTGTCTATTTCAGAGGCACCGCATTAATGTAAGCAGAGCTGTTTAATGCACTTCCCGGGACAGCGCCCTCGGCCAAGGGCTGGCTCCAATTCACCCTACTGCTGGGTGTGAGGACTCTTTGGTCTGCTTTACCGGCAACGTTTCTGGTGACGCGTCCTACACTTCAAAAAGGGCTGGAAACCAAGCGTGTGCCAAGAGCCCCGTCCATGTGTTACTGCGCGTGCTTCTTGGCTGCTTCCCCTGCGCCCGGCCGGAGGCTGCCCCGGGCGGTGTCGCCGGCCCTGGCGTCCCTCCTCCGGCTCTGGCTCTCCCGGGAGACCTGCTGCACGGCCCGCAGGATGGCGTTCTGCACGATCTGTCTGCTGGCGGTCTGCAGCTTTGCCTCTTCAGGCTCACTTCCAGGCTTCTCTCCTGGCCAAGGACAGAAAGGGAGGGGAAAGCACAAGGTTCATTTGTGGTGGGGGTGGAGGGGGGTGGTTAAACAGGCCAGGGCTAGTAGGGAAAAAGAGGCTACTGAATAAGATCTCTAGAGGGGCCCACTGCGTTAGTTGCAAGGAGCCCTGCACAGCAGGGGCTTCCCTGGCTGCTCCGACAGTAAAGAATCCGCCTGCAATGCAGGAGACCCGGGTTTAAAACCTGGGCTGGGAAGACTCCCTGGAAAAGGAAATGGCAACCCACTCCAGTATTCTTGCCTGGAGAATTCCATGGACAGAGGAGTCCAGTGGGTTAGAATCCATGGGGTCGCAAAGAGTCTGGCACGACTGAGGACCTAACACATACCACTCTTGTCTTCCCGTCTCCCTTTCCAGCAGAATTGCCACAGGTCTGCCCCAGTGATGCGCCCAAATTCTACTCCCATCCTCCCAGCATCCTCTGGTGGTTCTGCTCCTCCAGGTTCCCATGGGAGCCTGCCTCCTTCCATCTCCCTGCTCTGTCGCTTCTGACTGCATCGCCCTCAGCTGCATGTTGTTATTATTCAGTCGCTCAGTCATGTCCTGCTCTCTGCGACCCCACGGCCTGCAGCACGCCAGGCTCCCCTCTCCTTCACTGTCTCCCAGAGTTTGCTCAAACTCATGTCCATTGAGTCAGTGATGCCATCTCATCAACCATCTCATCTTGTCACCCCCTTCTCCTCCTTCCCTCAATCTTCCCCAGCATCAGAGTCTTTTCCAATGTGTCAGCTCTTCACATCAAGTGGCCAAAGTATTGCATGAGTGGAGCTTATTAATACAGAGCCCCTCTGGGGCTGGAAGGAAGCCAAAAAGGAAGGGCAGGGCGTTTCCTTTGGAGGAATTATTGCAGAGCCTGCAAACATCACTCTGCTCACATTTTACTGGGGGAAATGGAGCCATGTGGCCACACTTACCACACAGAAGACCACAAATCCAGTCACCAACCAGATAGCCATGTGCCCAGCTTTTGACTCAGGGAGGCTCTACCGCTAAAACAAAGAAGTGATGACTTCCCTGCAACAGCAAGGCTAAGGTGAAAAGCAAGAAGATGTACACTGGCAGCAGGTCCCATCTGACCCTCATGGAGGCTGGCCTATGACCACCCAACAGCATAACCGCGTGGGCAGACAACGCGGTACAAAGGTTCAGGGGTGCTCCTAGAAAGATTATCTCAGCCAAACCAGATCTGCGTGAATTCTCAAATGATCCTTGTGTGAAGTGACGTTTCACTCTTTGGGTGGAGGACAGAAGGCTCTACAGGTAAGAGGAGGATGAGTTCTTAACAAGAGACAGAGAAAAGAAAATCTACTCTGAATTTAGCTGTGACCTAACATCCAAGCTAAATCGTCTTCCCCTCGCTTATCCATTATGAAGAGAAATTGATCAAGAAGTCAGAGGCAGTCTGCGACGGGGGGATCCCTTTGGGGACTTGCAAGGTGGGTTTAACCTTAACCACCCTCATCACCACTTTGCTCTGGGTCAGAAATTTCTACCTGTGGCACAGCATGTGGGGTAAAAAGAGGTGCAATGAGCCCAAACAGAGAAAGAGAAGGATGAAGATGAGGGTAAAAGCCACTCAGAGCACTAAGAGAGGAGATGCAAAACAAGAAGTTATATGCGGAACCACGGAAGACTCCAAATAGCCAAAGAAGTACTGAGAAAGAAGAATAAAGTGGGGTGTGCGGGGGTCACACTTCCTGATTTCTAGCTATTTTATAAACACTACAGTAATCAAAACCATACGGTGCTGGCATAAAAACAGACATGTAGACCAGTGGAACAGAAGAGAGAGCCCAGAAAAAAACCCATGCATATATGGTCAACTAATATTTCAGAGTGGAGCAAAGAATACTCATAGATAAAAGACAGTCTCTTCAGTAAATGGTGCTGGGAACATGGATGGACTCAGGGAATGTCATACTGAGTGAAGTAAGTCAGAGAAGGAGAAATATCATAGGACATCCCTTATCTGTGGAATCTAAAAAGAAATGATACAAATGAACTTACTTACAAAACAGAAAGAAACTCACAGATTTAGAAAATGAACTTATGGTTGCCAGGGGAAGGGACAGTTAAGGACTTTGGGAAGGTCATGTACACACTGCTATATTCAAAACGGATCCCCAACAAGGGCCTACTGTATGGTACATGGAACTCTGCTCAATGTTAGGTGGCAGCCTGGATGGGAGCGGAGCTTGGGGGAGAATGGGTTACATGTATATATATCGCTGAGTCCCTTCATTGTTCACCTGAAATTGTCACAAGAATGTTAACCAGCTACACCCCAACACAAAATAAAAAGTTGAGAAAATAAAAAAATTTTTTAAATGGTGCTGGAAAAATCAGATATTCACATGTAAAAGAATGAAACTAGGCCCTATCTCATACCACTCACAAAAATTAACTCAAAATGGATTAAAGATTTAGATATAAGACCTGAAACCATACAATTCTAAAAGAAAACATAGGGGGGAAAAGCTTCCTGACAAGGGTCTTGGCAGCAAATTTATGGCTAGACACCTACAGCACAAACACAGCAGAAGGGAGAGCCGTACCGGAAACCCTCAGTTTTGCCATTTACTTACATGCGTGAAACTTACTTGAAATTAATGAATCACCTACACGTTGCAGGTGGCCTACGCCTCAAGTTAAATGATGTAAACTTCCGCTAGCCTACTTAGCATTTACCAAATCGTTTTGGTATTTCACAAAAGATGATGAATAGATTTAATTAGCTTTAAACTCGAAACGCCCAATATAAACACGCTGAAATCAAGAAATCGAGATGTGGCTAAATATGTCTTCAGCGTCTTTCCACCCTGAACGGTAACCCACTGCCCCATCCCCCGACACGCAGTCAGGCATTCATCCCTGTGGTCAGTTTCGGGAGAGACCCCACCCACCCCATGGGGCTGGCCTCTGGAAGGCTGCCCTGAGCCCTCTTGTTCGCCCCTCCCCTAAGATCCTGCTGTTCCACCGGGCACCTCCCCCATCCACCGGAAGTCACCAGAGGACCTCAAGTGCAAGGTGGTTGGTTGGTTAATAACTGGTCTTAATTCCCTATTTATATCCATCAAAACCATGCTTCCAAGGACTTTAGGAATATCCTTCTGATAAAAATGTACACTGTTATCTAGGGTGAAACAGATCACCAGCCCAGGCTGGATGCATGAGACAAGTGATCGGGCCTGGTGTACTGGGAAGACCCACAGGAATCGGGTAGAGAGGGAGGTGGGAGGGGGGATGGGGATGGGGAATACATGTAAATCCATAGCTGATTCATGTCAATGTATGACAAAAACCACTACAATATTGTAAAGTAATTAGCCTCCAGCTTAAAAAAAAAAATGTACACTGTTTTTTCCCCTAAGAACCTAAGTGTCATTTGCCTCTATGACATTAACCCTATTATATATTCCAGTTTGGTGGATTTTGGAAAAGGTCAGTGTTCCCATTTTTGAGGCCAAATCCGATCAGTGATTTTCCCTGGATCGCACAGAGCGGGTGGTAAAGGCTGTGTAAGAAGCAGCATCTCTAGCTGTCGCCTTTCCCCACTGGGTCACTAAATATGCAAATTGCAGACATCCCCATCAGGGCAGCTCTGCTTTTGTTTTTTGTCATACACACACACACACACACACACACACACACAGGAAAAAAGCTTTTCACTCGAGGAAACTGAGGCAGGAAAAATGCTTGTGAATATGCCACCTTGGAAATGTGTTAGGTATTTAATATTCTGAACACTTGGATAACAAATAACTCCATCAAGACTGGGTTGTGAGTTCAGAGAGACCCAAAAAGCTGTTCTGATCTCCACATGTATTTCTGCAAAATTCAGCTACAAGTTTCCCTCCTTTCACCCCAAAGATGCAAGAAACCAAGCCCTCCAACCCCCACTTTCTTGCAGTGAGCAGCAGCTCTAGAATTTCTGTGCAGGAGAGATTAAGAAAGGGCAATGCAGAGGAACAGGGAAACCGAGAGTCTGACTCCAAACTAGGGTATATGACAATTTTCACAAGGATGGAAAGATGTCCATCCTCCACATATCTGTCCCTCCAACAGCATGGAGTGGGAGGGACAGAGCACCCGGTGACAGCCAACCCCCCTCTTCTCATCAGCTCATTTCTCACGAGTGGCCATGTCACCCACTGCCCCTCCTCCCCTCCTGGAGCCCCCAAATGACCCCAGCTGGCCCAGACTGTGGGCTCCTGCAGTCCCCCACCCTAGGGATGTGCCAGGAAAGGAGAGCAGGTAGGGTTACGGATGAACACTCCAGGAACATGGGAGCCAGGTATGAAGGGGACAGGAAAGGTAAGGACCGTGTGAACCCATGTGTTTAAAAAGGTGACATCCTAGGCCCGAAGCAGAACAAACTTGGGGATGCTGGGGAACTCTCCTCTCTCTGGGAGCCAGGTCCGTACCCCAGGGGTTCCCTCCGCCCCCAGAGGCTCAGCTCCGCCCACCGCCCCTCCAGCGGGGCCGGCCGGGTTCTGCGGCCTCTGCTGCCCCCTGGTGGCCACTCCTGGGGTTGCTGCAGACCGGGATGGAATGTCCGTAGACAAAGGGCTGTCTGCCCTGCTACCCAGATTGGGTGTGGGTGTGTACACCAATGTCTGTATGTATGAATGTGTGTGTGTGTGAATGTGTAGATGTGTCACTGTGTAACTGTGTGTGTGAGTGTTGCCAGGGGAAACCTTTGAGACAAGACTGTTTCATTTTATCACACACACAGAATCACCAACGCATCTACGGTGCTTTCTGGTCACAGAAACCCTCTGTGCTGTGCTTAGTCATTCACTCGTGTCCGACCCCATGGACTGTAGCCCGCCAGGTTCCTCTGCCCATGGGATTCTCCAGGCAAGAATATTGGAGTGGGTTGCCATGCCCTCCTCCAGGGGATCTTCCCAACTCAGGGATCGAACAGGCGGATTCTTTACATCTGAACCGCCAGGGAAG